TTAACACTTGAAACGCGCACGCAACGTTACAAGACAGACGTTAAAGAGTACACGTTGCGCCATTTTCATTCATATTTTGTCTGTCAAATAGAAACTGGCGCACGTCGGTGGCTCGTCGATATTGCCTCTCTCTGCCATTCCAAGTACATTTTTCCCGGATGTGTCTCGCTTTCTGGAGAATCGGTCTCGCTGTGCGCGTTTACTTGACAATTCCATTACCGGGAGCTCTCCCGTTGGTGGCTGGCGGAGGACACGTGCTGCCGTTCGATTAATCGAAAATAGATCGTCGCAGTGAATGCTCCGACGATCGAAGCTATCGTCGACACACGGTGCTTCCAATTCGCGCTTTCCCGAACGAAAACTCAACACGAGTCGCGGTCGAGTTTTCCTGCGGTAAACTCGTTTCCAGTCGACGAGTACGAATCGCTTCGAATGAAGCCACGAGAACTGACGTATATTTCGATTGGACTCGGACATTTTCTCTATATATATACGATTGCTTTATACAGAAGCAATGTTTCATAGCAATATCTTTATACAAATCATATATCTACAGGTTGCAGTTAATTATCTCTCACATATATCGTTCTATTAATCGTCTCAATCCATATTTTCTAATAATTCTGAATGTGTGATTGCAAGAGAAATTTATCTATACGTACCTTTACAGAATTCTTCAAGAATTCGCGATTTATATTTTAATATTGTTATAACAGATTTATATACATTGCGCAAAAAATTTGTAGGAAAATCGAAACCGGTAATTTTTGTCTGGGTTTATTTCAGTACTAGTTAGAGCGCTTGTTTCTTTGTTGTTTCAGTACATAGAGGGACTTTTCGTAATCGACGAAAACACACACAGCTGCTGCAGCACGTAAAGTAAAGTAGCGAAAAAGAGCTAGAAGCCGGTATGCTTACAACCATGAAAAAGCGTCACACATCGTCTTTACGCCTATAGTTCGGCGTCAGGAGGAAAAAGAGCGCTCGCGCTCGCTCGCATATGTGTGTGCGCATGTGTGCGAACGTGAAAAGCGGACGACGAAGAGAACGGCTTCTTTTTTCCCGAAAGCTTCAGACTCCCGCAAACGTGACTCAGATGAAAAATCGTCTCGCCACCTCTTTTCGTCCTCGCGAATTACCTACGTCGGCGGGAAAGCGGTTTACGTAACGTCTCCGACGTTTCTTCCAGAATACGTGGCACACTTACTAATACAACGCGTTACAGCTGCATCGGTGATTTTACCTAGTAAATATCAAAACCACTTGGAACTACACTGAAACTTACCTCAGTAGTTTTTCACGAAAGGAGGAAAAAAAAAACTTGCCGCATAGAATTTTTATCCGATATTGAAAAGAAGAGAATAATGCCAGTACCATTTTGATAAAGTTCAGCGTTAAATATCGGACGAGTACTCATTTTTAATTATATAACCAGGGGATTCTCTCTCTCTCTCTCTCTCTCTCCCTCTCAGTTTGATGAAGATTTAACTGTTTAATGTTACAGAAATGCAGACAGGTAAACATCTACGAAATGTCGAAACTTGAACTCTAGCTCGAATTCAACTTGTGCGAAGCACATACCACAGATCAGTCGATTAAATTCGCGAATTCCATATTTGGGATTCGATACGGTGTCCTTCGATGCTAATCTCACGCGTCGCCGGCGCCGTCGCGGTTTCTCGAATTCGCAAATTGCGCGTCAGTATAATTCGGCGCGAATTTACGGTCGTCGCGTATCGAGCTATTCTGGGTGTATGCGCGAGACCGTCCAAACACGAGGCGAAAATGGATGCACGAACGTACGGGAATTAACGATGTACGGCGTGTGTGCCCTCAGCGAAACGCAAATAGCAATGCGAACGCAACGGCAGTCTAGCGAGATTCGCTCAACCTGTGGACGTGTCAAACCCGCTCGAGCGTTCCACGTGTGCTGTTCAACGACACGTGCGTGCGCGCCCCGTGTAACACAATCAACCGAATTCAAACTAGAGAGATGCACACGAATTTAATAGGATATTGATATTTTTATTTGTGTATGATATCGCGAATGTCGCACAACACAGCCGATGCTGTGTGTTTGATACTTCTCTACAAAATATCGACGATACTCGGCATCAGTAGAAGTATCTACGATGACCGAGGGAGCTAATTAAATTTTTTTAACAATAAATTAACAAAACATAATAAATTAACGAAATACAAATAATTAACATCTATTGTAAAAGTAGGAGATGAAATGAAAGAAGAGAGATGAAGTAAATGGACATACAAAATCTTTTTATTACACACATCAAAGATTTACACAATCTCAATATAAAAATTATAAAAATTATACTAAATATTACAAGTTGTAAATCGACATACATTTCTATAAAAAAGAAACGTCAAATTTATTAATATATTAAAATGTAATAAGACTTGATATATCGTGATTTGTTATAAGATTAGAAAAGAAAGTAGCCTTCTCTTTTTTTATTATTCAAATAATTCTTGATATCGTGATAAATATAACCGTATGTTTTGTATAAATTGCTACGATCAATCAACGTAATTATACCCGCAATCGTTTTCGCGCTTGAAAGAAAGTTCGCGTCATCCAATAAATATGCAATGTGAAATGGTAATTAATGGATAATCTCCGATATTTCCTTCGAGATACCATCCATCACGATGTTCCCGCGAGATTAAACTCGCTGATATCGCATCGTCGTAATCATGCGTGTTGCATCAAATATGGAGACAGAAAACAGGAACAGACGTACGAAAAAAAATGGGAAATGTTCTCTGATTTTGTTACATTTGATTCAAGCATTTCTATTATTGTACTAAAATTTAGATATAATATTTAGATTGATTAATGGATGTTAGATGTATTTAAACATATTAATATTTATGTAACATATTTAAATATTAGGTACAATGTAATGTTAATAAAACTTACACGTCAGAAATCTTTATAATTCGGTACTCTTGTACCAACGCGAAAAAAATGAATGATCTCTCTTATTTGGATAGAATCGAGATTAACGATTCCTCTCTCGGAAAATAGACATTGCCGTGGGTTATTTCCTAAGGGATAAGGGAAAATGTCGTCTCGACGCGTCGCAGGGAAATACAATCCCGTACTTTCTGTAGTCATAGAAATATAATTCCACAATTAGATGCGCGTTAACGTACGCTTCGAGGGACACTCTAGTCGAGCGAGAGCTTGGTTGTCGTCTACTTTGTCATTATCAGAATGAGAACTTTGGAAATTCGCCCACGTGGATAATTCGACGACACGACTGTATGCCTTATTCCTACTCTCTCATTTCTATTCCTTTCTCACCATTTCTCTTCTTCGTCTGTTCTGGTAATGTGGATGAGGCCGCAGTTTCTAAATTAATTCTCTTAATTAGAGAATTTAACTAATTATATGTAGCAGAGAGTACATTAATAATTATAGAATTGCATCTCGGATAAAGTTTACAGAAATCTGTGTAAGCGCGGAGAAAACTGAAATATAAATGAAATTCGATACAAGTAAAGGATAGATCAAAGTTAGAATCGCGAGTTAGAACACAAAATGGAATTTTTATGATTTAATTTCTGCAATAAAAAATCAGGATATATATTTCGAGATATTTTCTATAATTGATATAATTGATATAATAATTGATATAATTATTCGCAATTTTTGCGCGTATGAGATGCAAGATCCATGAATCTAGGAAATTATAGATGCGCCGTTAATTGATCAGCGTTGACGGTGTAGCTGGTCAGCCGCTAATAATCGCGATGCCGCATGAACTTCAACCTTGATAAGAAGCGACTTCGCCCGATCGATGTGCCCGCTGCGGCGGTTAATTAATGTTCTCGGGTATTTGCGTCGTGAGACTCGGGGTCCGATCGATAAATTTAGGACGGCGCGGAAACTAGTTTGCGTGTAACACAGGATAATTGTCGGTAAACTATACGAAGGGCGCGCAGAAGATCTATTTAGGAGTTACAAAGTGTTCCCAAGCTAGGACAAAGTTATATATTGCTCAGATTAAATTAATTAAAATTTACCCAATCAAATTTATATCAAGTTTATATATAATTAATATTATAATTGATATAATTAATATTTGCGCGTGTAAATTTATACGAGAAGGAGACAAAATATCGAAACCACTCGCGGAACTGTTATTGTTATTTTATTATACTAATAATTTAATATAATATCAAAACAGCAATTTTCAAAAAATTAAATTGGGACATATGAAATAAATCTTGCAACTTTTAAATTGGCATATTTATCTAATAAAATCTAGAGATAATATTGCTATACGTTACATAATGTTTGTTTGATTGAAAAAAAGAAGTTGTACGGATAAGGCTTGAAATTTCGATTTATTCCTCGAGTAATTCTCGTTCTGTAATTCTTCGTTATGTCAATGCAGATTGCAAGATAGATTGTGCAAGATAGACTTTCGCTTTGTATTTGACTTTTTAGAAGATCAATAACTCTGACCTGGAGGAGTTGTCTTGCTCAATTTTCCTATCTTCATTTCATAGATGTTGCGTGCATGTATCGGCTCTATTTGTGAGTTTGCAAGTTCTGAGGCTGTGGAGCAAGGTACTTTAAACTGATTGCAAGTGATGTATCGGTGTATCATGCTTAACACGACGTAGCAATCAACTTGCCATGGCATCTCGGGTTTTGATACAGCTATAGCGCAAGTGTATGTGTTCTATGCATTTATGAATATTTACATTTGACTCAAGAAACGTCTCAGTACACTTCTTGTAATAAGGCACACAGGATGTTCTATTAGAGTAAACAAAATGGTATATCAGTTTTGCGCAATATTTATGCATAGTTAATTTTCCACGTAACTTTGTACACTGGAAGGCTATTTATAAAATTATACTCCCTTTGGAGAACCGAACATTTTCCAAGCCGTCTCTTCAATTCCGTAAAATAGCTGAGCACATATTCTCTTCTAATCTAATAAAAACTTCACTTTCCGTTTCAGATCTGTTTGGTGCCCGATCCTCGTACGAAGACAGTTTACTACTCGGTAAGTTAATTATCCCGACAGTTAGATTATATAACACGAGTATATCTCCATCGTTGAAGGATGCCGGGACGTGGTCGCGTCCCTCGATAATCATCCACGTGCCGTTTTCGATCGCAATGAAAATTGCAAGGGGCAGGCAGACGCATTACGCAATCGTAATCCGAGAACTGCATACAAACGCACGCTGTTCGCAGTTTCGAATTTCGTAGGTAAGGGTTTCCACCAGCAGCGGTTCCGCTTCGCGGATGGAGGCTCAAGCGAACCGCATTTCCGAGTTTAACTCGCGGCCCAGCTCAGCTATTTACCGACGCAATCGTTCGGTAACTCGAGCATTGTCGCTCACAGGAAAATAGCCGGGAAAGTTCTTGAATCTGACCCGACGGAATAGTCGTCGACTTGCGGAGACACGCTCGAATTGTGCGTACCACTTCCACTTGTGCCCTGCCTCGTTCGTCTCGATCCGTTGCCGAATCGATATCATCGCGATTGTGCTAAATTGCCTCCCTTATCTGGGGAAATTCCTCGACAAACTTTTAATCTACTCCCTCGGCTGAGACCGATTCCCCGAGCTTCAATCGCTTCGCGCATCGCTTCCCTTTCTCTATCACTCTTCCCTCTAATATACTAATGCATGCCGGCTCTCTCCTCGATACTACTGCACCATCATCCGCGATATTCGCGCGAATGCTTTTTATTCCGCGCGAAAACTCAATTAATCTCAAGATGTTCCGTTCTTCTTTCTACGCGGAGAAAAAGATCTTCCACGTTTATCGATCGCTTTCTATTTCTCGGCATTTCCTTTTCGCTTCGTCATCTTGTGCAATGTATTTTTTAGCTCGACGAATTTAAAGCTCGTTTCTTGATAAAAATTTCGATGGAAGATTATCTTTTATCATAATTTATCTTTAAGTATCAAATATAATATCTTGATGATTAAATTCAATTAACGCTTCTTTAATTGCTTTCTCCCGAAATTAGATAAGAATGTTACAATTGCTATTACAGTGCTTTTCGATACGCGGTTTTTAAATTATATTTTAATATCACCATGTCTAAATTCGCGTCATAGATGTGGACGAACAGCTTGCCCAATAAAAAAATTACTACGGTGTTTCCGGCTATCGAGTAAATTAACGCGCGTTCGTTGTTGTTGAAGTTATCACGGGGTGGTTTCCTTCTTGGAATCACGCACGTAAAGCCTGCCGACGCACCCGAAATGGGCTTCGAGGTTCTAATTTCGGCCAAATCCGTTTTACTCTCCCTACTCGTCCATTTCTTTTCCCTCGTGGCAGTTATATACATCGATTCTTCCCCGACCTGGGTCAGATAATTGCTTTCACTATCGAAACATTGTTGTTTCTTACGAAGATGAATAGTTAGTTTCCTTTGTTTTCATAAAAGAATTTATTAATATTTACGTTTTATCAGGAATTTAAATTTACAGAATTGAAATTGTTAAAAAAAATTTTATGCGCGACGTTAAATATTTTTTTTTTTTTAAACTTGGTAACCATTTCTGATAATTTATTCAATATTATATTTCTTAAATGTAGTGAGTTCCGAGAGTTAATCCAATCATTTATGTATTTGGGATTTTTAATCATATAAACTATAGCGAGAGATACAGAGAGGAGCAGGGAAAAACGACCGAACTTTGTCTATTAAGGGAACTTGGGACTTGATGTAAGTACATAAGCACGTAAGCAGGAAACTCCTTCGTGCTTCCAACTACTCGCAATTACATATTTCTTAATGCATACGGCGTACGTGCTTAGGTTACGCTTTTGCTTCTTACGATAACGCGATGAGGTTACAAAAAGCAAATCACGCTTGCAGAAAAATACCTATGTTTAACACGCTACTTGTTGCCATATTAACGATATATTTGTGCAGTATTTTTCTAGAAACGATGTCGTTTTGTATTCATATTAACAATAATCATGACGCTGGTTTTGATGGTAGTTTTCGTTTTATTTATTTATTTAATTTTTTTTTTTTAATGTGCACTCTTTATTCATTTTGCAAAATGCAACCCGAGCAAACCGATTATATGCTTATTTTTATTTTATCAATCTTGGACTGCAATCTTAATTTCTCTAACTGTCACTTTTGCGGATACATTTATTCAAGCCCGGAAAATAATACGGTCTTGGTAAGCGGAATGATTTGACATTTTCTAGTGTGTGATAATAATAAAATATCGCCCCTTTTTTTGGCAAACATTATTTTCTTTCGAGTCAAGAATCTGTAAAAATGGCATGAGGGTCACATGGCGTACCGTATTATCCAAGGTTCTCCTGTTATTCTCTTGGGAATGTAAGACAAGCAGACCGAATGCTCGCGGGGTAGCAATATAGCAGCAGCAGTCGTGAAACATTTGCTCCCTTAATCTAACGTAAGACGGCGCCTAAGGCAGATTATTGAATTGTGAAGACTGTTCTTTTCGGTAACAATACGTCTTATTTGCGAGATAACATTTTTTCAAAAATAAAAAAAGCATTTTCATGGGGCGCTTAATTATTTCGTCAAATTGGTTTGCATGGATATTTAATTATAAGAGATATTTAAATTGTAAGAGATTATTATTTTGCTGTTAAAAATATATTGTCTAATAACTCATATTGATACGTTCAAAATAATACGAATTATCAGGCTAAAGAGAAAGAGAGAGAGAGAGAGAGAGAGAGAGAGAGAGAGAGAAATATTTTAACAGTAACATTGATAATAACTACTGAGGAGAGCTTAAAAAAAATTTGTCATTTCTCTATAATGCTTTTAACCATAAATCAAGCATATCTACAGATTGCTAGACATCATATCAAGGAAACATCGCACAATTGATCTTTTTATGAGTATCTTTTTCGCTAATGCATTATACAATCTGTTTTTATCAGATATTTATTCAAGAAATTTTTGAATGGGAAGATATAAATCTATAAATATGACAATAATGGTATCGTGCTTTTTTAATTTTTTACAAATTTGCAATTTGCGCACATTGCAACCAAACTTGTCGCGAATATTTAACATTTTTTAGAGCCAGAAAAGAAAATAGGGCCTGTGCTTTCGCGCACGCCCGTGAATCATTTCCGTAGTCATATGACATCCAATATTATCGGATGTTCCGTGATGCGGAAAATATTGTCGACGCAGATGCGCCATTATGCGGGCGAGAAATAAGATGCGCGCGAGATCGGTTGATCTACGGACCCCTCGAAGATCGTACAGTTTCTGTGGAAAGAGACAGCTTGGTCTAGCAGGAGCGTCTTATCCACCCCCCTATAGGAAAGGTCCCGTCTTTCCGGTCGGCGATCGCGGCGAAGTAGAGAACTCCCTATTCACTCCGTCTACCCATCCTCACATCTTTTCTCTCACCATCGGAGAAATCGATTTTCTTCCGCCTAAGGGAACGACACGGTCCTCACGAAATAGCTAGTCGCATTTATTCTAACGACTCCCAGCAGAGTCGACGAATGCTATCGAACGAAGCGATATAGTACGTAGTTTCTAGATTTTAGGACTAACAGTATATATAGAAATATATCATGGTATGTTTGTGTGTGTGTGTTGTGTCGTCTAAAACGTAAAATGACATGCGATAAAACTTTTGATCTCTATGTAAATGAGCTGTCTCTTCTTGATTACTTATTAATGGCACAAATTTTGTAACAAATATCTGCTCTATTTATATATATTCTGAAATATATATTTATAATTAATATATAAAAATATATATTAACAAAAATATATATTTAAAATTAATACATTATAATTAAATTGAACTAAAAAAGATAAAGTTTAACAGTGATTCTGCATAATCGTAATGTATTTATTGTTGTCATTATTAAATAACATTTTATATAATATGATATAAGATACATTTGCTTTGTTTTTATTAAAAGTGTATGTTTTTCTTTGAGGTAACTATCATTTATGATTGATAACATTTCTTGTTCGGTTGATACATTTTGCACAGCAATTTGCTATTAATTAAAAAGATAAACACTAATAGCTTTTTGCACTCACGAACAAGAAGTTTGAGAGAGCACCGTTTACTCGTTGAAATCGATTTTCTTCAGATTAGGGGAATGACTTGTCTCTTACGAGATGGTACCTAAAAATATTTATTTTTATGGTGCCGAAGGCGAGTAGACGATAAACATATAATAATGATTCAATATTGGGGGAGAGCTCCGACGACGGCTCTTAAGCTATTCGCTCGGAAGATTTGAAGAAGCAAAAAAGATGTACCTTTATTATGTAAAATGTACTTTGGACATCAAATATATCAGTGATCGAAATTTGTTTTTCTCGTTACTAATGGGATGTTTGATCTTATAAATATCAAAGGAATGTACGATTAGAGATTATAGAGATATAAAATTAATATAAATTTATATTAAATTTTTATTCATGTAA